TAAAATTATCATTATGGAACGGGATGTCCCTATTTCCATCGGAGGAATGTTGGAGGGTATGAAACTTTTCTCTTTTTCATGGTTTTGCTTGAAAAAAAGGTGTGGCGGGAAGGGGAAGGAGAGAAACGATTTATAAAGTGTTGTGCATCTGACCAGAATAATGCAGAGATTCCTGGAAAACAGAGGCGTGGGGGGAGATGGCTTGGACAGTCTTAGTGGGAGAAGAAATGTGTTCCTCTCGCCACAATCGTCTTTCTCCTCTCCAGCAGCTGTGCTCTCCCCCCCTCACCCCACCCCATGGCTGTCAGATCTGATCATGCTGAAGGCCGTTGTTACCAGGATAATTAGAGGCAAGTCTCAGGGGCATCATGATGGTTCTGAAACGTGGCAGGGAATGCCCACCAGAGGGGTAGGAGAAGAGGCCAATAGGACAGAGCGGTGGGGACATGATTCGAGCAGGCACAAGAAAAAGGCCGAATGCAATAATAGGCAGCAGAAATACAGACACACGCCGAGAGAGAGAGAGAGACAGAGACGCACAATCTCACTCTGAGTCAAGAGCGAATTATCTGGACCACACATGTTACTCTGGTTAGCTTTGAAGCCTGTAGGTTATAGACAGGTGCTAAAATTGGTTGAGCAACAAAAAAATGAAGTGTCGTCGATAATTTCAGAACACGGCTTTAGGCCTAAGTGCCTTCCCCTGGCTAAACTGAGGTTTGGGATATTTTGCATAAGATACAGTGGTACCTCGGGTTAAGAACTTAATTCGTTCTGGAGGTCCGTTCTTAACCTGAAACTGTTCTTAACCTGAGGTAGCACTTTAGCTAATGGGGCCTCCCGCTGCTGCTGCGCTACCGCCGCACGATTTCTGTTCTCATCCTGGAGCAAAGTTCTTAACCCGAGGTACTATTTCTGGGTTAGCAGAGTCTGTAACCTGAAGCGTATGTAACCTGAAGTGTATGTAACCCGAGGTACCACTGTAGAAGGAAATTCAGATCCATTGCACTGAAAAAAACAAACAAACCCAAAACATAGCTTTGTGACACTTATTCTCTGTGGGAGCCAGCATGGTGTAGTGGTTAAGAGCGATAGACTTGTAATCTGGTGAACCAGGTTCGCTTCCCCGTTCCTCCACATGCAGCTGCTGGGTGACCTTGGGCTAGTCACACTTCTCTGAAGTCTCTCAGCCCCACTCACCTCACAGAGTGTTTGTTGTGGGAGAGGAAGGGAAAGGAGAATGTTAGCCGCTTTGAGACTCCTTCGGGTAGTGATAAAGCGGGATATCAAATCCAAACACCTCCTCCTCCTCCTCCTCCTCCTCCTCCTCTTCTTCTTCTTCTTCTTCTTCTTCTTCTTCTTCTTCTTCTTCTTCTGTATCACAGGGGCAGGGCAACCCAGCTTGTTTACTCAGAAGCAAGTGCCTCTGTCTAAAGCCATCCAAACTGCCACTGGGATACCACAACTTACTATTCTGGCTACAAGAGAATGCTTCTTTCAAGTCTAATTTCAGAGGGCATAAACCACCCAACCAATGTGATTCCTGTGTTGTAGGGAGTTGGACTCAATTAGCCCATGAAGTCCCCTCCACCTCTCCCATTCTATGATTCTATGAGTCTACAAATGCATGCATGCTGAACTCCTTGTGTGGATTACCGTACAGAACTTCTCTCTGAAGAAGGCTAAAATATAAATGCTCTGCCCGCCCACCTGCAAAATATGAGTAGCTCAGATTTCCTGACATTATCCAGACTTTTGGCTGTGTTGAATGCTCCACACGGCAATAACAAATAAGGCTGAGATCCTAATCCCACCTATCTGGGAGGAAGCCCCATTGAATCCAACAGGACTTACTTCTGTGTAGACACGGTTTGGTTCTCTCTGTGAGATAACTTTATTTTTAAAGAGGGTGTATGAAGCTCCCGCATTTTATGAGGTTGCTTCAGCAGCTGCGGGAACACTATTAATTCAAATAGGCTTATCCATGATCTTTCAAAAGAAATCATTGCTGTGAGCACTTTAGGATAAGGACATAATCTAAACTTCTGTTGGGCTTACAGTTAATTCATGCTTTCTTTGTGTTTGTTGGTTATCGTAGCCTGCTTAGCAGACAAACAGGTGATCGTATCTGCATCGTTTAATGCCATTAAAACACACATTTTGATAGCTTCCTTCTTCTTCCCTCCATCCAGCCACATGATACCAGAGTGTTTTCACTGAGCTCTCCACCAACAGCACTGAGTTAATCCCAGAAAAGCAGAATTAGAGGTTATGTCACTGATGCAAGGCGGCGTAGCCCTAGCCCTCTGTTCCCTTTGTTGTTGTTCTTGTTTTCCCGGAGCATCAAAGCACGCGGCTCTCATTGTACCTTGCCAAAGACAGCGTGTGCAGACTCTACTGACCTGCTTTCGCGAGCCAGGAGGGGAGCTCTAACCTCATTTGAGCCCGTTCCTCATTACGGATCAGATGCCTGCAGAGATATATCAGGAGATTGCTCTTCGCAGGTGCCCCAATGCCCTGGAAGACGGAACACTGTACGGCCTTCGTCGTTCCTTGTCCTTGTTTGTATCGCTTTGTTTTACGGTCTGTTTCAGGAAGGTTTTTCTCCGAGCCACTTTGGATAGCCTCTGCAATGGATAGGTAGACCGGTGGCATGTAAAACCCACCCGCCTGTTCCTCGTCCAATATTTCAGAGAGGAAAGTAGAGATCTGGTCAAAGCACCTTTGAGCCTGAAAACCATTGCCTCCTTCCAAGTGCTTGCACACTGAGCTCCTTTTGCTGTCTGCTGTACAGTGGTACCTCGGGTTAAGAACTTAATTCGTTCCGGAGGTCTGTTCTTAACCTGAAACTGTTCTTAACCTGAAGCACCACTTTAGCTAATGGGGCCTCCCGCTGCCGCCATCACACGATTTCTGTTCTCATCCTGGAGCAAAGTTATTAACCCGAGGTACTATTTCTGGGTTAGCGGAGTCTGTAACCTAAAGCATCCGTAACCTGAAGTGTCTGTAACCCGAGGTACCACTGTATTTCCCTACTCCCAAGAGCTTGTTCTCCTCTGTTTTTAAAAGCCAAAACAGTGTTCTTTAGCTAAAAAAAACACACACAAAACCCTCAAATGAATGCCAATGCATTAAGGCCAATTGTCTTTCAGTGATCTGGGGACACTGAAAGTCATGGAAGACCTCCGGGTATAGGGCGGTATATAAAGTCAATAAATAAATAAATAAAATAAATAAAAATGGAATTGTAGAGCTGGAAGGCACCCAAAGTGCCATCTAGTCCAACCCCCTGCAATGCAGGAATCTCAGCTAAAGCATCCATGACAGATGGCCATCCAACCTCTGCTTAGAAACCTCCAAGGAAGGAGAGTCCACAGCCTTCCAATGGAGTCCATTCCACTTTCAAACAGCTCTTGCTGTCACAAAGTTCTTCCTGATGTTGAGTTGGACTCTCCTTTCCCCTACCAGCACTGCTGTCACCCAGCGCCAGATTAGCCAATAGGCAGAGCAGACACTGGCCTATGGGCCCCAAACCTTTCAGGGTCTCCACGACAACGGATCTAAATAATATTGATTTGATCGTGAAAGAAAATTGCAATCCAGCTTTCTTAGTTCAATGTTATCCCACCCCGATATTTTGACCGCTCGTATGGTTGCCATATGTCCTCTTTTCCCCAGATATATCCTCTTTTTCACGGCTATGTAAAATGAGAGTCATCATAGCGATCCATAGTTAAAAGCAGAAGTCAGCAAATGTGTCCTCTTTTTTGCACTTCAGTAACAACAACAACAACAACATTTATACGCCGTCCATCTGACTGGGTTTTCTCAGCCACTCCCAACAGAACACTAAAAACAGAATAAAACATCAAACATTAAAAACCTTCCCTAAGCAGGGCTGCCTTCAGATGTCTTCTAAAAGTCAGATAGTTCTTTATTTCCTTGACATCTAATGGGAGGGCGTTCCACAGGTCAGGCACCACCACCGAGAAGGCCCTCTGCCTGATTCCCTGTAGCTTCACTTCTTGCAGTGTGGGAACCGCCAGAAGGCCCTCGGAGCTGGACCTCAGTGTCCGGGCTGAGCGATGGGGGTGGAGATGCTCCTTCAGGTATACAGGGTCAAGGCCACTTCAAAATATGGCAACCCTAGCAGGCCTCCACAGGGTTTAATCCGGCACTGCTTCCACTAAGCTCAGGAAGCGGAACGAGCCAGTGCTTGTCCCAAATGACAGTGGCAGCTGTCAGGGAGCCTCCTATTGCCCCTCCATGACTACCGGTACCTTTGCTGACCTTCTGAGGGGCAGGCAGAGGGCAGGACTGCCCTGGGCAGGAAGAAAGGGAGAGTGGAACAGAGCACAAGGAGACTTGGGGGTGTATGCGTGTGGATATGCTTTATGCGCCCACATCTAATCTTGCCCCTTTCTAAAATGTATTGATTGCTGTGTGTTTTACTTTTTGTAGATCTACCAAAGAATAAAATTGTTATGTACTGAAGTTCTCACCCTGGGCCAGCAGGGGGATACTGTAGATGCAAATGAAGAATCGAAAGTGACGTTCAGTGATTGGATAGTTTTTATGCAAATGAAGGATCGAAAGCGACGTTCAGTGATTGGATAGCTTTAGAAAGTTGCTACAGTAACGTTGTACTGGAGCTCTATATAAGCAGGCTGACTGAGCCCTTCAGTCAGTTCTGTTCTGGCCTCTGAATAAACAAGAGCTGTTTGAGGAATCGCTGTGTCGTTTGATATGTTCACCCACAACTTAACAAAAATAAAATGGGTATTAAGGGTTTTTCTCAGGACAGCGGTGTGTTTGTGTGTTCTGTGTCCCATTGGTGTGGGGGTGACATAGGAAATGTTCTGGGGGGGGGGGAGACAAAATGTGAGGTCAGAGATACGATACGATATGATAATCTTTATTGTCATTGTCCCATACAGAGCAACGAAATTGAAAATCTACATCAGACATTCAGAAACCAACACGCCTGCTATCCCAGCTATCCCAGCCTGTTTAGCCCCTTAAAAACTCTGATACCCCATAATTAAATACAACATATTCCCATAGAGACTACCTTACACGGCGTTTAAAACCAAAATCGCATTTGGGTAGAAACTGTTTCTCAGGCGGCTAGTCCTAGTCTTTATAACCCTGTACCTTCTTCCAGAAGGCAGAAGCTGAAAGAGATCATTTCCGGGGTGTGCTCTATCCTGTGGGAGGGAGGGAGACATGTCCCTATTTTCATTGGAGAAATGTTGGAAGGCAGGTTTCCCAGCATTTCAATAATTAAATAATTGTAGACGATTACATAGTTTTGTTCCCAATTGCTGGTGGTTGGGGAAATGGTGCCCAGTAACTTTTCTCGCTGCAAATGTTCTTCTGGGTGGGAGGGGGGTGTCGGTCCCACTGGGGAAAAATCAGAGCAACCAGTAGAATTTCAGAGCTGTTAGGGACCACCAGGGTCATCTAGTCCAACCCGCTGCAACACAGGAATCACAGCCAAGCAAAATAATAAACCAGAATGATGTGTGGAGGGTCCAGTACGAATCACCGCCCCATACGCTATGATTGCATCCATGGCGCATTGCAGAACGTGGCTGGAAAATAATAATACCAGTCTCCAGAGAGGCCCTGACTTCATGCCATCCACCTCAGGCAATAATCCTTCGAACTGGCAGGTAACATGCTAAGTCTGACTTGTAGATCATACCAATGTGGGAACGTCAGCTGTCAGCTGGGATGGGAATTTGTTTGTTTGTTTGTTTCCTTGCTTGCTTGCTTTTTCCGAAACACTTACAGCGTTATCTTCAGTAAATAATAGATAAGTCGGGTTTGTTTGTTTTTACCAGTGCTGCAGTTCTTAACGCACAGAGAGGTGTTTTTTTTTTGTGAGTGTGTTTCTACATCTCTCCATCGGGCAAGCCAGTGTTTGCCTTCTCCGCTCGCCTTCTCCTCTGACCTTCGGGTGTTCTCTGAGAGAATTTTCAACCCGGTTTTGATACCTGTGCCAAAACAAACAAGAGATTTATCACGGCTGATAACAGCGCTGGCACATCAGCAAAACCAGCTGGTCATTCTTGGCTTCCTGGCCTTTTGGAGAGCAAAACGGGGCCTGGTTTTCAGTTTGGGTTGGGGGATAAATTCAGCTGTTTGTGTTCTGATTGGAACCTGCCTAATCTGCATTTCCCCCCCGAAATAATAATACGCAAAGTAGGATGCTGTGAATATCCTTCGACAAATATAATTCTCTGAATTTCGCAATGCGCTTCTGCAGCCAGATATTACAAAGGAGTGTAGATTAAGGGAAAGTGCATTTGAAATGGGTGCATTTCTTAAAGAATGGCATACAAAATTGCATTGCATTGGGGGAGTGGCTTGCAACAAATGTGCCTGTTAGGAGAGATTTGCACAGAAATGCAGGCAAATTTTCACGAAGACTTTTTAAAGACGAATGAGTAAACTGCAAACTGTTGTGAAAATGTGGAGAGCCGGACTTAAGATTGGAAAAACACGAAACTGAGAGAAACCAAAATGGACGTTATTTCATCGCTATCGGTCATGTCCAAATTCCTTCATATTCCTTCAAATTCCTTCAATGGGAAGAAACAAGACTATCAAATACACATAAACACCAATCTTTCTTACTAACCTCTTTGCCGTTGCCAAGGTGGTTTGCAGTTTAAAATAATGGCGTGCAATCTAAACAGACACAGCATGAAAGGAAGAAGCGGTGGGGAGGGGAGAGGAAAATAAGCAAATTCAGGCACAGGCACTTTTCAGATTCTTACACAATGAAGCTGCATAATGAACAAGAGACTGAGGCAGTTTGAGGAAGAATTATGAATGAAAGGTCTCTCCAGGCATCCTTTTTCTAGCACATTAATGATGATTTATGCTCATCATGCCATCAGCACAGTTGCAAACAACCCTCTTTTCAATACTGTTTGTACCTGGGAAAGTGTTGGAGTGGTCACATGGTTTTTACTTCCAAACTGTGAATATCCCAGAACTTCCTGCTGAAACTCCAGTACCTTTCTACAGCACAAATGTCGCAGTTTGTTTTTGTCCTGCTTTTGTGACAATGCAGCCCCTCTGGACAGCAAGAATGTGGTAGTATTGGGGAAGCAGCGCAGGAGAAACAAATAAAGCCGACTAAATCCACCGCTGACGCAGGATTAGTGACAGCCAGTGGTTATAGTGCTGGACTAGGACCTGGGAGACTAGGGTTCGAATCCTCACTTGGCCATGAAGCTCACTGGGTGACCTTGGGCCACTAGCTGCCTCAGCCAAACCACCTCACAGAGCTGTTGTGAAGATAAAATGAGAATGAGAAAACTGCGCACACCACCTTTGTACTCCTTGTATGGAAAGGTGGTATATAAATGAAAGAGGATGATGATGATGATGATACAGTGGTGCCTTGGTTTTCAAACGTCTCCGTTGATGAATGTTTCGGAATTTGAACGCTGTAAATGCTTCCATTTTCGAACACTCCTCGGAAGTCCAACAGCTTCCATTGTGTTTTTCTCAATTGAATTTGCAGACCGCCCTTTGCGCCTTGGTTTTTGAATGTTTTGGAACTCAAACGGTCTTCCAGAACGGATTATGTTTGAAAACCGAGGTACCACCTCGGATTGCAAACTTAATTCATTCCGGAGGTCCGTTCTTAACCTGAAACCGTTCTTAACCTGAGGCGCGCTTTTGCTAATGGGGCCTCTCATTGCCGCCGCGCCGTCAGCACGCAATTTCCGTTCTCATCCTGGGGCAAAGTTCTTAACCCGAGGTACTACTTCCGGGTTAGCGGAGTTTGTAACCCGAAGCGTCTGTAATCCGAGGTGTTTGTAACCCGAGCCTCTGGATATGAACGGGATCCGTTCCGGAGCCCCATTCGCATCCTGAAGTAAACATAAGACGCGACTGTGCGTCTGCGCGTGCGTGGGTCACCTTTCGCCGCTTCTGCGCATGCACGTGACGTCATTTTGAGCGTCTGCGCATACGCGAGTGGCGAAATCCGGAAGTAATGCTCTCCGTTACTTCCGGGTCGCTGCGGAGTGCAACTCGAAAATACTTAACTTGAAGCTACTTCAACCCGAGGTATGACTGAATATGAAACACCAGTCTGAAGGGCCCTGTCAGTAGAACTTCACTCAATATTAGGTGGGCTGAGATTCCTCAGAAGAGAGTTTTCCAAGGTGACTTCCAGCTGACCTCTGATATGTGTGGAGGCAGGTTGCACATAGCTGCACCTAGCAGTTCTTACCCCACACTTCCTGGTGCCTTTCCCTATCGCTTTCCCTTAACACAAATGAAGTGTGGGTGTGCAGATAAAGAACGGGCCTGTTCCACAAGAGAGTTAGATCCACCTCAGAATTGCGCAGCCTGAATTTGCTTAATCCCACTTGCCACACAGGGACAGTCTTACCCCTAACACTCCCCTGTCTGGCATCCACTCCTCTCAGCACACTCTGGAAGAGCGAACCGACGAGAGCCATTCCGTCTTCCATCCCAAACACCGGCACAGAGCCGAAGGGAAAGAGGCATATCCCATCTTGGCACGTCTAAGTGGATCGAACGGCCCAGATCAATCCAAAACCCTTTTCATTTGTATCAGTAAACTCAAACGGTCCTTTTCATTTGCCGTTCCAAATGGGTCCCCCCTTTTAATTCCTCCCTTTCCCTCTCCCCTCTCCCTGTTTGCCCTTCCTTTCTGCCGCGAGAGCCGTTAATGTTTAATAACTCCAGCGCTTTAAAGTGCCTGGCGCACTTTTGGCAGCGAGTCATGCTCTCCGTTTGCCAAGTGTACTCTGGAACACATCATGGCCACAGAAACGCAAAGGCAGGGCTTTTCCCAGAAGGTTTATTATTATTTTTATTTTTCAAAAAGGAAGGGAGGGAGGAAGAAAACTCTGCTGTGATCCAGCCAAAGTCCAGCACTTTGTGCTCCACTGTTTTCAATGAAGCAAAGTTAGCATGGCTGCAAAAGAATAAGTGTAGAGACATTTCCCTCGTGGTTTTTTTCTATGTAATATACAATTACCGTATTTTTCACTCCATAAGACGCACTTTTTTCCTCTTAAAAACTAAGGGGAAATGTCTGTGCGTCTTATGGAGCGAATGTGTGGTCCCTGGGGCTGGGGGGGGGGGCAGGCTTCCCTTGCCAGCCGCACAAGCTCCTTAGCAGCTTTGGGGTAGCCCGCAAAGCCTCCGCAGGGCAGTGGGATGAAGGCTCCCCGCTGCCCTGCGGAGGCTTCACACAGCTATCCCTGTCTTTTGCAGGAGGTGGGGGAAGGGACAGAGCGCACGGCCGCGCTCCCTTTAAAGAGCATGTGGCTCTTGCGGGAGGTGGGGGGAGTGACAGAGGCTCTCTCACTTCCCCCACTTCCCGCAAAAGCCCCCAAGAGCTGCGCTCCCTTTCAAGAGCCGCGCAGAGCGTGTGTGTGGCTCTTGGGGGCTTCTCCCTCCTCGGGGAAAAGCCTGCAAGCGCCGCACACACGCTCCACGCGGCTCGTGAAAGGGAGTGCTGAGCAGAGCCTGGGATGCATACAGGCTGTGCTCAGCACTCCCTTTAAATCATATTTTTTTCCTTGAATTCCCCCTCTAAAACCTAGGTGAGGCTTACGGTCAGATGCGCCTTATGGAGTGAAAAATACGGTACATTGTTCATGTGTTAGTGTTTGTGCCATACAGTAGAAGCTGGGAACCTCAGGTCCTAGCAGGGCTCTGGCCTGTGTATGGTGGAGGCAAGAGGGCCACAGAGTGACCTGGAATAGGGGCCACTGATTTATAGGGTTTGTCACCACCCACAAGGCCAGAGCCAGGCAGGGGGAGGGGGAGAGGAAGTGGGGATCAGTCAGAGATGGAAGGAGGGGCACAGGACCTGTCCGAAGGAGAGGAAGAGGCTGCTCAGGGGAGAGGCAGATATTTTATGGGGGCCCCAAAGGGTTAGGGTGGCAACTGTACAGTGGGCCCCACAGCGACTTCTTGGTTTGGCGCCCATTGCAGGCAACCTGGTCACACTCCCTTAAATCTGCCCCTCTGCCATCTCAGCACCTGAGAGGGTCTCTAGGGAAGTCGGTGGTCTTTCAGATATCCGGGGCCTGGAGACAGATGTAGTCCAGCAACGTCTGTGTGGCCAAAGGTTCCCCAGCTCTGGGTCGGAAAACTCCATGGAGCACGGCTCTCTCGACACCTTCAAGCCATTACAGTGGTACCTTGGTTCTCAAACGCCTTGGTACTGAAACACCTTGGAACCCAAACACTGCAAACCCGGAAGTAAATATTCCAGTTTGGAAAGTTTTTTTTGGAAGCTGAACGTGCTCCGTTTTGAGTGTTACACTTCCGATTTGAGTGTTACGCTGAGGTCTGTCTGTTTTTGCTGTTTATTTTGCGTTGTTGTTTTTGCGGCTCTTTTTTTTTGTTTTTGTTTTTGTGACTGTGCGGAACCCAGTTCAGCTACCGATGGATTGATTGTGTGACTGCAGTACATTGTTTCTTTCTTTCATTTTATGGATCAGTGGTCTCGTTAGATAGCAAAATCCATGTTAAATTGCTGTTTTAGGGGTTGTTTACAAAAGTCTGGAACGGATTAATCCGTTTTGCATTACTTTCTATGGGAAAGCGTGCCTTGGTTTTGGAAAGCTTTGGTTTTGGAACGGACTTCCGGAACAGATTAAGTTTGAGAACCTTTCTGAAAGGTTCCCATTCTTCTTCAAAGTCACAGTTGTCCTTTTCACATAATTTATGCGTCAATTTCGCCAGTCCCACATAGTCCATTAGTTTCCCTTGCCACAGTTCTTTTGTTGGGATTTCTTCGTTCTTCCATCCTTGCACTATTAAGACTCTTGCCACCGTTGTCGCATACATAAATATGTTCTTCAATTTCACAAAGTACTTAAAGAAACAACAAAATGAACTGATTCTCCTTGGTAGGTTTGGAATAAACAAATACACATTTATTATTGGTAACATATAGACAGATAAATTAAGGATCATTACAATTTGATAACATGCAGAAAATAACCTGTGCTTAAAAACCAGAGAGAGGAGCTGAGGGAAGTCTGGGGGGCGGGCGGTTCTTTTAGGGAGGGGGGAAGGAAAATTTGGGGGGGGGGAATGAGGATGATATGTTTTTGATAAATTGTTAGGTTGAAATTTTCAATAAAAACAATTTTTTTAAAACAGGAAATACTGGAAAAAGTTTGAGAACCAAAGTACCACTGTATAGCTAAGTGGAACCTCCATGCTCAGCCGCAGCAAAGCTCTGAATATCGTGTGCTGTGGGTAACAGGGAGAAGCAAACTCTGCCGCGCCCAGTCCATCAGCTTCTGGACCCGTCACGCAGGCTGCCTTTCGGAAGAAGATGCCCCTCTGCACTTCTCTGAGGTGACACAGAGGCAGGTGGGAAGGTGGGAAGCTGCGCCCGGGCCTGACCTGCCCCAACGCAAAGATGGAGTGCGAGGAACGCTTGCACCAGGAGGCCGCCAGTCGCCGCTCGTTATGGAGTGATTTATGGCAAGTGCAACGGAGCCACGTACTCTTTTTGTTTCCATGGCACCATAAAAAATGGATGGGAAGCAGCGGGGCCCCCGTGTTGTCGGGCGGTTTGTTTTTTCAATGCGACATTGTCATGGCGTGGAAATCTCTGGAGAATGCCTGCGGGGCATGAGAACGAGACTGATGGAATGTGCTACCCTGCTAATGGAATAGGATGCAGAGCTTCCTTTGCCAGCGCCAGCTCCTCCTCTCCGGTAATAGCAAGCATGCAGATGGAAGCAGAGCAGAGCAATGCACCTTGTAGCCCCCTGTGTGTGTTGTTTTGCAGGGAAGGGGGGGTCACTGGGGAGAAGGCCTCTTGACCGCTGATGCTTCCCGCAGGGAGCCCTCTCCCGAGTCTCTGACACCTGAACCTGGGATGTGTTTCTTGCTTTTGAAAACAAAAGAAGAGCCTGCCATATCAGGACAACGGCCCATCCAGTCCAGCATCCCATTCTCCCAGTGGCCAACCACATGCCCGTGAGAAACCTGCAAGAATCAGGATTCGAACACAAAAACACTCTTTCTTCCTGTGGTTTCCAGCGACTGCTATTCAGAAGCATTGCTGGCTAGTAGCCATCGATAGCAAACCTAGACAGCATCTTAAAAAGCAGAGACATCACCTTGCCACTAAAGGTCCGTATAGTTCAAGCTATGGTTTTCCCAGTAGTGATGTATGGAAGTGAGAGCTGGACCATAAAGAAGGCTGATCGCTGAAGAATTGATGCTTTTGAATTATGGTGCTGGAGGAGACTCTTGAGAGTCCCATGGACTGCAAGAAGGTCAAACCTATCCATTCTTAATAGAAATCAGTCCTGCGTGCTCACTGGAAGGACAGATCCTGAAGCTGAGACTCCAAAACTTTGGCCACCTCATGAGAAGAGAAGACTCCCTGGAAAAGACCCTGATGTTGGGGAAGATGGAGGGCACAAGGAGAAGGGGACGGCAGAGGACGAGATGGGTGGATAGTGTTCTCGAAGCTACCAGCATGAGTTTGACCAAACTGCGGGAGGCAGTGGAAGACAGAAGTGCCTGGCGTGCTCTAGTCCATGGGGTCACGAAGAGTCGGACACGACTAAACGACTAAACAACAACAACCAGCCGTCGATAGCCCTCTCCATGAATTTGTCTAATCTGCTTTTAAAGCCTTCTAGGCGAGTGGCTTCTGCTGCCTCCTGCGGAAATGAGTTCCATAGTTCAACTGCGAAGATGTAAAAACCACGAGAACAGCGAGCGAAGGGAAGCCCTTGGTTGTGCCGCTATGAGCGGTAGGATCTCACCCCTCCTGTTTCTCTTCCCAGGCCGTGGTTATTTGCTGCTGCAAACTGTGCGAGACTATTCCGGAGGAGGATGGAGCGTGGAACAAGCAAGGTGTACTTGGCGTTGTGCAACCCTGTACTTTCGTAGGCACCGTCCGCAAAATCAGAAAAGGGATCCTCTCCAATCCTTGGTTCAGAGTGTTCAGGTGCCTAAGGCAGGGTGGCGTTTTTGCTGCAGGTGGTTATTCTGCAACATGTTGCGGGTGCAAAAACAAGGCCCTCATGGTGGATTTATACTAGACCATCTGCATGTCCTTTCACTTGATTCTCCAATGTTAGTGTGTGGATAGCTCAGTTGGTTAGAGCGTGGTGCTGATAACACCAAGGTCATAGGTTCGATCCCTGTATGGGACAGCTGCATATTCCTGCATTGCAGGAGTTGGGACTCTATGTACATAGAAACTCAGTGTTTCTATGACCACTCCTGGGGGTCAGGGGAGCCCTGGTTTGGTATAAAAGCTTGCAGGATATCCCCAGGAAATTACAGGACATGCACTGAAAGGTAACGAATCAGGCTGCTTGCCCTGAAACCTCTATAGGTGCGGACAGTATTGAAAATTGGGGTGCCCCGATATCATCATTGAATGCACAATTTTAAAAAGTGCCCTGGAAGACCCCACAGGCCACACCTCCACCATGCATTTAAAGCACAACTACAATACCATTTCATGGCTTCCCTCAAAGAATTCTGGGAGCTGTAGTTTATTAAGGGTGCTCAGAGTTGCTAAGAGTCGTATTCCCCTCCCAGAGTTATATAAGACTCAATCCCTTTCCCCAAGGAATTCTGGGAATTGTATTCTCTGGGGGGGCGGGGTATAGGGATCTCCTAGCAACTCTCCGTATCCTTAAGAAACTACAGCTCCCAGGATTCTTTGGGGGAAGCCACAACTATTTCAATTGACACCGTAGAACTTTAAACGTGTAGATGCATCTGGGCTCTTTCAGAAGTTCCTAAGCAACCGAAGAGGACAGGGCCTACGGGTGAGATCCTGGCCTTCTTTCCCTCTGTGTGAAAACTCCTCATCCCATTTGCTTGGTCCTCTAGCCTAAGGTTACCCGACGTCCCCGTTTCCCGGGGACAATCCCTGGATTTACAAATTAGTCCCCTGACAAAATCCATGTACAGTGGTACCTCTGGTTGTGAACGGGATCCGTTCCAGAGGCCCGTTTGCAACATGAAAAGAGCGCAACCAGCAGTGGCGCATCTGCGCACGCGCAGGTTGCAATTCGCCACTTCTGCGCATGCGCGCAACGTCATTTTGCGCGCATGTGCATGCGCAAGAGGTGAAACCCGGAAGTAACCCTTTCCAGTACTTCCGGGTCGCCGCGGGACGTAACCTGAAAGAAAGTAACATGAAGCGAATGTAACACGAGGTATGGCTGTACCTCGGGTTACATACACTTCAGGTTACATACGCTTCATGTTACAGACTCCGCTAACCCAGAAATAGTACCTCGGGTTAAGAACTTTGTTTCAGGATGAGAACAGTGCTCCGTCGGCATGGCGGCAGCAGGAGGCCTCATTAGCTAAAGTGGTGCTTC